CTTTTTATCAAGTTGAAGAGTTGATAACCCCGGTTGATAGCTCCTTTGGTATAACATGATTCTTGATAAATTCACTCAAAATGTTCGCTCGTAAATTTATCTCTCGTAAGGCTTGCAGACCGACCCGTTCCGAAAACGTTTAACGTCCTTTGTTGTTGGTCTACCTCGAAAGGTGTGTTTGTTTGTATGTGAAATCATGGAATGCGTGCTAATTTTTCACGACGACAACTTCTGTAAATTCCATTTGCTGTACGCATGCATAGGTGACGCATTCTAGCGATGTGTGACTGAACGAGGGAAAAAAAAGAGCCGAAATTTAAACCCAGGCCTAACTGCCAGGGTAAGTATGTATCAATAAAGTTCTAAGCGGTTGTAAGGCAGGGTTCCACTTTACTCAAAAATACATACACATGACATCAGCAGAGTGAAATATTTAAGCATAGGACAGAATGAAGCCGTGATATTACTGATACTTACAGCTGTTCCTTACAGATATCTCCGACCAGTTTTAGTCGATCAGCTAAAATCTTAGGTGACTTAAAACCCTGCCCTGCACAATGAGTCCTCAGGATTAAGGACGTGTCTGGCATCACCATGGCGATAGAACGAAACAAGGCTCTGACCTCAGAAGGAAGCTCAAAAGCTGGTCCATTGGTACCAATGGTGAGGAACATGGAGAAGTTGGGTTTAACAATGACCTGCCAAGTAAAAAATGGTGTTTAAACATACAGTGTACAAGTAGCTCCTAAACAAATTCTGATGTTACTTTTCATTAAGTAGGTAAGGTGAAGTCTACCTAAGAGCCACGTGGTCCATCAGGGCGGAGCTTATCCTAGTTTCNCCCCCCCCCCCGCCCTCCCCCCGGCATGGAATGCCAGTCCATCGCAGGGTTACCCCCAGCATTTAATTCAACAGTACCCATTTATACATCTGGAGAGAGAGAGGCACTGCAAGAGTAAGGTGTCTTGCCCAAGAGCACAGCACAATGTCCACGGCCGGGGTTTGAACCCAGATCACTTGATCCAGAGATGAGAGCACTAACCATGAGGCCAACCCGCCTTCCTACTTTTAATTATCTCATGGGTATTTGCTATCTCTCAGTCTCCCTTACTTAGTAGCAATGTTGCGGTCGACACTCTACACATTACTTACATCCTTTCCATCTTCGAGAGTGCAGGTGGAAAGTCCACCCCTCAGGGCGAGTAACACAGCCTGAATCTCAAACAACATGACCGAGAGACATTCCGTGTTCACCCTGTGGAACTCGTCCATCAGGCCCCAGCAACCCTCCTACAAAGAAATGAAGAGAAAAGGAATAATTAACACAAGATGACAATAATTCTAAGACCTTGTCAGACTATTTAAGTAGACGAAGTTCTTACCTCTGCCAGGCCTACGATGATCTTTCCTACCGCAGCTGAGGACATCTTTGGAGAGCAACTCATGGTCACCATGTATCGACCAAGCAGGGATGCAAGACCCTAGGGGACGGATGATAAGTATATTCACAGTCTCACTATATCTCTTTGTCTAAAGAAGAGTATGTGACAAGTATCGTTCGAAGTATTCTAGGAAGAATGAATCCTCTGAGTTGCTATCAATTTGTCTGAGATTAAGTCTTATTGTCTGAGAAAACCAGGCCGAAGTTATAGTTGCAAATTCTACTTTTAGTCGAATTTGGTTCATTTCCTTCTCATTCGCAGATTATGAAATAGTTAATCCTAAACAGGAAAGCTGAGTAGACTTACTTATGCTTATTTCTCAGATCTCTGGCTTTGTACAAGCATTTCTATGTCCATTTGTATTAGATGCAAAACATGAACTTCTTTTGCTAAATTTTACAGTTTTTGCTGGCTGTTAAGTTTGAGTCAAATTCACTAGAGAAACCGGGACTCGTGTTTATCCATGTGTTTATGCATGTGTCCACCTGATCTACCAATAGTGATATTATGACCCTTAAATACCCTCCATCCACCTAAATTTTATCTCAAACATTAATTTAAAAACACCGTTGCGCTGACTCGCGATTTTGTTACTCAAAAGAGAGCCATGTCAGCACTTAAAACATGTCATACAATAACTGATAAATAAGTGCAGATCCAGAATAATGGAAAATAATACCTTCACTGTTTCCGTTTTTCCTGTGCCCGTTGGCCCAACAAGGGAGCCTCCACAGAAATTCCATATAGCCTGAAGAAAATCAAGAAAATTCGCATGTAATTTGATGCGTGTATTTGCTCATGAGATAAGTGACTCGGACAAGTGACTCAGTATTGCTTTTACATAATTATTCCTCTCTTAAAGTTTATACTTAATGTCGTTTAAATTAATATATTTAGTTTTACTTTCTTGACTGTAAAGCGATAATGACTGAGAGCTTTGTATATACTTGCTAAATAAATAAAGTTATCGTATTGTATTGAATGAATCCTCTTACAAACAAACCACCGCTCTTAATCTTACCTGTGTCAAGCTAAGGAAACATCTTTCAGTTATGGGAGTGAGAGCAAGGGAAACATCACAGCCATAGAATTCATGGCCATAAGGTAGCTGCGAGTCCAACATGTGGACATAAATTTCATTTTGCTCTTCATCTGCAGCAATCTTCGGAGGCTCCCTGGATGAAGGGCGGCCAACACCTGTTTCCATAGTCGGAACTGAGGGCAATGAAGGTGTTTTTCCTACATGTACAACATCAGAGGTAAAAAAATTCTTATATCATTAGCAGATCTGGCAAAGTAGCCTAGAGGATTTGTTGGACCTGTTGGACAACAGTTCAAGACGTTGTTGCGTTCTTAAACATGACGTCTCAAACTCACCAATAACTCATCAAGTTTAAACAAAGGAAATCCTGACCGTGACAGTAACCGTTTTTATACTGAAGAAGCATCATCCGTCTGGACGATCTTGGGCAAGCATTTGTAGTTCGTCTGGTTAAGTGTCTCTAGTATAAAGACGGGCACAAGACGAACTATCCTTCGAAATGTGTCTCAAACGACGCACTGCGAGAGATAATTAGTCTAGACGTATAATACGTCTTGTAACCGTCTTTATACTAGAGACACATAACCAGACGAACTACAAATGTTTGCCCAAGATCGTCCAGACGGATAATGCGTCGTTAGTTTAAAAACGGCCAGTGTTTCGGTATCTGATCTTAATTAACATAGATTTTTATAGATATCTTTCTCCGTTTTTTTTCTTAGTCTTAGTCTCAGTTGAGATGATATATCAAACACGAAAGACCGTGTCTGACCACATTTCCAAACACCTCGAAGCTCGTCAAAAATATTCAACTCTCTGCTCGGTGTTTGGAAATGTGGTCAAACACGGTCTTTCGTGTTTGATACAGTACTCATACCACGAATCGTTTATACACTCACCAGGCGCTCTGCTGTTGTCTGTTCCATAAAACCTTATGTTTCTCTTCCATTCAAAGTCTACTACATCTCTTAGTTTGCGTCGACTAAGATCGTCAAGGACATCTCTCAAGTACATCCCTTGCTGTGGAAAATGATGTGTTTACTGTTTATAAAAAAACTGTTGATCATTATACGGGAAGAGTCCATTTCTTTCACTTGTCAACAAAGGAGAATAAAACCAGCTCTGTTATAACAAATTCTGAGAAAACATTTTGTTTTGACTGCCTGATATCAAGTCTTCTGACTATGCAGCATCAACTTGTATCTCTTTATAAAAGTTAGATGCGTACCAACTGCTTATTCATCCATTAGTGAAATACGTTTTGTTATAAACACACAAATGCATTTTTCTCCCACAATCACACAATTTACCATGAAACCTTGCAAATATGAACCTGTTATTTTAAGCCAATTTTAGAGATTGTGCTACCTGCTTCTGCCTAACTGAAAACAACTGGAAAGACAACTCATGGCAAAACGACAGGTGTTGACAGCTGCTAGCGCTATTGAAACAGGCATTAGTGTTGATAAACCACCAAAAAATAGACCATTTCCGAGTTGCCTTGAGCCTCTGTGTCAAAACGACTCTTGACGCGAAGCCATTCATGTGGAAATGCGTGTCGCCTACAGGTTCATTTTTATGCAAAATACACTCATCTTCACTTGAAAGGTTTTGCACGAGGACTCGATTTGTAACAGAGAAACAAAGTAACTCGGACACGACCTTTTGTTTTATATCTGAGTGAGTCCTAAGTGGATTGGTTAGCGATGGTATACTTACTGACACTAAGGTTTCCAACCGAAGCTTATGGTAAGAAGTCATTGGAGTGTCAGTGTGTTTCCAGGAGCCTTTTGCCAGAAGATTGGGCAACTTGCTGATAAGTGACCAAAACCGACGGGAAGCATTAGGAATTGCTTTGCGATCAATGCGAATATCGCCAATTCCCTAGAGGAAGGAGATAAGCAATGACCAAATTNAACAACTGGAAAGACAACTCATGGCAAAACGACAGGTGTTGACAGCTGCTAGCGCTATTGAAACAGGCATTAGTGTTGATAAACCACCGAAAAATAGCCCATTTCCGAGTTGCCTTGAGCCTCTGTGTCAAAACGACTCTTGACGCGAAGCCATTCATGTGGAAATGAGTGTCGCCTACAGGTTCATTTTTATGCAAAATACACTCATCTTCATTTGAAAGGTTTTGCACGAGGACTCGATTTGTAACAGAGAAACAAAGTAACTCGGACACGACCTCTTGTTTTATATCGTCCTAAGTGGATTGGTTAGCGATGGTATACTTACTGACACTAAGGTTTCCAACCGAAGCTTATGGTAAGAAGTCATTGGAGTGTCAGTGTGTTTCCAGGAGCCTTTTGCCAGAAGATTGGGCAACTTGCTGATAAGTGACCAAAACCGACGGGAAGCATTAGGAATTGCTTTGCGATCAATGCGAATATCGCCAATTCCCTAGAGGAAGGAGATAAGCAATGACCAAATTTAGACACATAAAGGGTAACAGCTATAATCATTGTAGCTGTTACATTTTACGGGGTTTTTATTATTATTATTATTATTATTATTATTATTATTATTATTATTATTATTTAAGTTTACAGGTTTAACAGACATCAAATAATTTAAATATTATAGCATTTTGTAAAGCTTAGCTTTAGTTTCTGTCACAATAAACACTCCTCTTTTGCCTTAAAGTCTTGCCGCTTTTAACTTATGGTGCCGAGTTATTATTATTATTATTATTATTATTATTATTATTATTATTATTATGATGATGATAGTAGTATTAGTATTAGTTGTAGTAACCATGATATCATGATTAGATACGGAAACATGTTTTACAGGTTTAACAGACATCAAATTATGTAAATATTATAGCATTTTGTAAAGCTTAGCTCTAGTTTTTGTCACAATAAACACTCCTCTATTATTTCTGCAACTAATTTGCAATCTTCAATCAAGTCACCTTACAAGACATAGAGTATCTACACGCAAAAAGGACATTGACACTTACAGCCTCACATTCCTTTGTCCAAATGTACAGCAATCCTAATCTACAGGCCTGTGAAGGATACTAAAAACAGATAGCTGGTCTTAAAAACTAAGCAAGAGATAAATAGGAAATAGATGGACACAGAGGATAACAGTCAGCGGTGAATACCAATACTTCAGTTTGGTTAAATGATAAAACGCTTTGAAAATGCTGCCACGTCTTGCAACTACCTTACATGACTTTGGTCTATCCTTTAACAAGGAAAATTACAATATGCACCATACTTTATTCCAAAACGTTGCAAGAATTTTGCATGAATCAGATCGTTTTGCCATAGAAGGTCGAAACACGGACCACTGGAGCCTTGTATATGTACCAAGAAGTAACAGTTTTAAATTAAAAGGTACACTGTACGATGCTCAATGGAAGAAGGAATTATACATTTGAAAGTAACACGGCATATTTCGAACAAACTGTTCATCATCAGAGAGGTAAACTCTGGGAAGCAGTCCGAGAGGCCTAGGGGCAAATGCCTGGTAATCGATATTCGACTAACTCCACTGTGGTTGCCTCAGTAGCTCTGTGGTTAGAGCGCCTTCCATGAGATCGGGGTGTCGTGGGTTCGAATCCCGCTAGGGGCAACTGATTTTTTCCGGCATTTAACACAGATAGGCATATCAGAGTTTACCTCTCTGGTGTTGCAAAAAATACTCTGAGCATCCTAACTGCCCAGGGGCAAACCTTTAAAATCCACTCTTCAATGCTATGCCCAGAATCAATGTCCTGAATGCAATTGACGATGGAAGATTGAAGAGATTCATTAATACTCTTCAACAGTGCAGCCAGCCATACATCCACACCAGAAACGAGGGGGACCTGCAGCAAAGCACAGAACAAACAAGTCTAGGATTAACGACAAAGAACATAACAATCTTCTGGCATCGCAAAACAGTAAACATCCGCTTTCACGAACAAGTGGAGTAGGCAAGTCAGGCTGAAAGTTGGCCAGTAAAGCACCATATATATAAGAACCAATTCAGCCTGATAAATACATGTTCTTATATAAAAAGAAAGAGGATGCCAGAATAAGAAAGCAGTCATATTAAATTAAATTTATTTTTTGGTGTGAGTAATAACATAAAACATTGTATGTTAATTAAACCTTCACAAATGAATGATGCGTAGTATTTCTGAAACATATTTTGAGAACATTGTAAGTTAAACTCATCGC